CATTTCGTTCGTGCAATGGATGAGAGTTTTTATAAGCTGCAATAAATTAACGCTAGACGTGTAAAAATGTTTGATCGGCAACGGCAAAGTGTCTCTTGGTAGGGAGAGGACCTCGCTACGCGAGAAAATTCGGGTTTAATCGTTTGGATCGGAGAATCGAGTTAACGTACCCGCCGTGATTGGAATGTACGTTACAGCGCCCGCGGATTCAAACGATTACATCGTTCGATAAGGTATGCGATAGTTAGCGAACTCTTCGAGCTGTGTAAGTCGGATATTTATTAACGATATTACGATAATAAATTGATGATCAAGATCTCTCGTTCGTTCTCCTGATTTTCTGATAACATTCTTGGCTCGCCGCACTTTGTAAACGATGATTATTCGAAGGTACAATTTGATTCAAGAACAAATCCTCTGGAATAATGTGGCAATTCGATTACTCCTTGTATTAGTATCATCAAACCATTTACCAATATCACAGAACAAAATTACATAGCATTCAACGATCCGATTGGGATTTCTCGATTTATCGAACGTATATTATTTCTCTCGCACGATAACAAATCCCGAGCGCCAAGGTAATAAAAAGAACAGGAAACAATACAATAAAATAATCTGCAAGACTTCAAAATTATTCGATTAATTGAAAACATATTATATCGATTACTCATCGTTAACGAAACTCTACCCGATCCATAGGATATTCCAATTTATTTTACAAAAACAAACCGTTGAATGGCCGGAAGCCTTTTGTCCCGTCGTGTATTACCTTTCTCTTGATTTGCCCCGATCGATCGGCGCGCATTAATGCCGGTTTCGAACAAAGAGGTCTGCTCGGTCCCGAAATTTTCGAGCGATCCAATACAATCGCGTGTACAAAGACGGGAGGAAAGAGAGGGAAATCGCGAACGGACGAAGCCCGTCGACGAGTTTTAATGTCGGCACGTCCGGATCCACCGTGAACATTTCGAAACGCGCGCACAAAGATCCACGGGGAAAAAGAATGGAATAATTTGCAATTAATCCCCTCGACGATACGCATCCATGACGAGCGCACGCACACACACGGGCCCGCCAGCGAATTTTCCTCGGTATGGGATGACAATTTGCGAGATAAGGTAAAACATGACGCAACGCGGTGAATCAGTGAAACCCGCGTTTCGTTTCATTAAAAGAATATCAATTTTTATCGTAATCTTCTCTCCGCGTGGCAGGTTATTCTCATTCCTACTCTTTCCTCCTCTTTTTAAGGACGATTCGATTGATTACAATAAATAGGCTGCTTGTGTTTAAGAGAAACGATGATTTCCTTAGTTACTGTATCTGTTACAAGAAAATTTCATTTTGTGAAGATGCGATTTATTTATTAACCTGTGCCGTAGCTTTCGTTCGATTGCGCTTTACACGTTCGCGTGTAGATATTGTAGACACAAAGTGCGCAGTCTAGTTATTACTATCACTGGAAGTGAACATTGTATTAAATGTACCAATAAATAATCTGTTACTTGTTTCCATAAAATGGCGTTACAGTGTAAATTCAATGCATTCTCCTACCTTTGAGCTGGAAGAGTCGAGGAAACTCTGATCTTCGACATAATTGATGAATTATTCTTTTTACAGTTCTTGATTTGATCATTCTTCCGAAGATGCGAACCGTATTCGATTAAATATGATAGATTATTCGTTGGTACGCTTAATATCATTATTTTCGCTCCCTATGCACTCTTCAAATAATCATTACCTCGATCGTTCGATCATTTAGGACGAGGTGAAGGAGAAATTCACCGATGAAAATGTATAAATATATTTATTCGTTATTTTTATGACACGAATGATCACTGACGGTCGGAATTTAAATCTAACAGTGCACGAGGATTTCAGCTCGTCGGAGAGGACGCCGCGAGAACGTTATTTTGTAATTGTTTATAGTACCGTAAATAATGGAGAACCGTTAGCCGGAAAAATAGAAGAAATAATATTTGCACACGAAGGCTGGCTTGCCTCGAGACGGTGAATCGGGCGTAAATCAGTCTGTTCTCGCGATCCGTTCGCGAACATTGTATCCACATGTGTGTCAACACTAAATCATCAACCTTTCAGCACGTTAAATGCGGGTCATTTTGCTCGTTTCAATTTACATCGATTACAATCAACTCGTTTACTCTCTGTTCGGTATACTCTCAGAATCTTTCATTGCAAATAGAAATACTTTCTATTACACTTTCTATTGTATTAATACGTCTCGCGTATGAATATTAATCCTTTGCACTCGAGAGGTGATTTCACTCACCACATGATTTCACATTGTAAAACTATAAAATTTGATATTTCATATTATACCTTATATAACGCATCAATTTGAAAAATAGTGAAATAAAAAAACTTTGTTCCTCCATGTACGTATGATTTCTCTTCGAGTTCCACAAAATATCGTCTTTATCTCATCAGAAAATAAAATATTTCTAATGAAAAACTTCCGAGTGCAAAGGGTTAATTAAGGATGAGCCGTTAACACATCATCCAAGTTTAGGTTCGTTTCTCATTAGCTCTTCGTTTTCGTCTTCATTCGACGAGTAATCATGCTCTACCGAACCGCAATGTTCGTACCAATACGAACCGCGCGATATTGAAGCATATAGTTGTCCAATGTTCACTGTATCAATTGAATTCGTCACGAGTCGTTTGGAAAACGCACAGTTTACACGTTGACCGCCACGGTGGTCACCGATGACTGTTACAAATTGCTTGAAAACGATTATAAGGATAAAAACGATGTCGAATCAAAATGTTTAGTAGCATGGGTAATAAAACAGTACATCTTAAACCGTTAATAACTAATTCTAATACCACTTGCCTCTGTTTGTTGCAGTATAAAGGAAAAAGTGATATACAAAACGCTCAAAATTCTCGTGGCGGCCAACGTGTTAATTCACTAGATTTACGGTACCAGTCAATTTGACTCATACTGAATTTTATAAACATTATTCAACAGATGTTTGTGTCGATTTTGATGCAGTTACGCGAACGTGTTTCTTAATTGTACACTGTTAAACCTCTAATTTCCAAGATCGAAATGAACGAACATCAATGTTCCCAAGAACGATAGAACAAACCGTACGAATGTCCGTGAATCCAGCGTTAGAAGGTTTACGTCGGCAAACCGAATTTCTTTTTCTTCGCGGGGTCGCTCAAGGCGAGCCGGGAATCCTGTGTTATTTTCGTTATCGTCAACATTTATGCAAAACTGATTACGAGGCTCGCGCGCTCGCAGAGCGATCCTCTCCATGATAAGGGAAATTGTTCTGCTAACTACGGTGCGCAAGATTTTCAGAAACAAATCTGGCTATCAACGCGACCAGCAAGACCGTTCGTGTGATTCCTGCGTGGAAAATTACTTCCACGCGATCGATCGTTTATTCGGCGGGACATTTCGCGAATTGAACGGTCGCCGACTCTACTCCCCCGCCATTTTGAAAGAGACAGATATCTCAATAAGATTTTACACTCGACAATGCTCATGCTTGGATGAGGAAAGGAATAGGATTTTGTTCGATAAATATGGTTAATCGTTCAAGATGCATGAAATTTCGTTCACGGTGTTCCTATCCTCGGAACACCATCTTGCCGAACTTCTGTAGACTCGTTGAAACTTTGTTTCTATGATTTAAGCTGATCGACGAAGAGAGGGCAAGCAGTTTTGAAAATCTGCGTTCTTTACGTGGAAATCTGTAATGTCGACTGGACTGAGATTTTTGTGTGCGCTGCAGAAACGGGACAAAAAATGGCGTAACACGGCAGGCCAGGCGAAGGTGAAAGAGTAATCCACGATTAAGAATATTGTTTGAACGATGTATATTTTACTAATGGCATCGAGTCCCTGATATCGTGTTAAGGTATTGTGAGGAAAAGTCAAGCGATACGTCTGTTTGTTCCTTTACTAAATAAGTACTGACGCCATATTGTACGTTTAGTTATAGGTTTACCGTTAAAACTTGTCTCTGTAGATTTAGTAAGTATTATACGTGTCAAAATGATAGATTTATAATAACGTGTAATAATGTCAACAATAAAGTACTGTTAAGTATACCGGTCGCACTCATTTCGATGCGCTTCAGTGCAACACCAGTCCACGTACGATAAGGTAGTTACTTATCCACTGAAAATCGTACACACGTATTTATTCTATTGTATATACGATCCAACGAGCTCTTATCTATTTACGTTGAAGTGGTATCTCACTTTACAATTGAAGTAATTATCTTAACTCGATTAATGAACAGCGAAACCTGCGTTTTTTGTCCAGATTACATCCGATTCTTACTTTCAATTAATAGTTTGAATGTACGGTTAACGTAACAGTTGTTTTATTATTTTCCAGGGATTTGTTGAGACCCCATTGTTTACAATAGTTCTGACTATTGTGAATGAAAACGTTGTCGATCTTTGTTTTAATCCTTGTGCACAGCTCAGGTGAATTTGACTAGAAATGAATGTCTCGGTTCCATCAGTTTTTATTTCTTAAAAATTTGTAAATAAATTTTATTTCCTACAGATTGATATCGGTTAAAGCACTTTTTCACAGTTTTTCGAATCGTTGTGATTTATATGAAAATAATATAACTTTCACTATGAGTCTGACACTTGCATTATCTGCTTTCGTTGCTAAGTTCGTGTCACATTTCGTCATCGACGATTTGGAAGGAACGCAGAAAATGTTCCATTCCACAGTAAATGTACATTTATTTTGAACATAATACATTGGCAGTAACAGAATAGATTTTTAATTTGATCCGTGGGCAATTGACAACATTGACGTTTATTAAATATTATTTATCACCTGTTGAAGTATAATATTA